CGGCTGTGAAGCAACTGGGTTTAAATTAGTTTGCCCGCCGGCACGTGTGCACTAGCAGGAGTTGTGCCGCCATCAACTTCCATAGCATATGATGTTCCCCAAAATGTTGCTGAATAAAATCAGTTTAGTGAATCACCAAATGACATCAAAATCATGCAAATTTTGTGTTGACAGCTGAAATATTGCTGCATCCACAGCAGATTGATAAGAGGGCGACGTGCTACCATGTGTACAATTCAGTTGATTTCAACAAGCACACAAACTTGGAAGAAGGTTGCTGAGCTTTAAGAAGCAATTTCGCCCTTCTCTACCCTCGCCCCTCAGAGTGTTGCCACGACGAAATGAGGGGAGCCAGGGCGTAGCGTGTGCTTCGGTGCTCTCTGTATGCATTCTAAGCATTTCCAGCTAGTCTCAGATAGCGTCTTTCGGAACACGAACATTATAGTACATCATTCGGCATCACGGGAAAGCTTGTCTGCAGATAAATAAGAAATACAAACTTCCAAGTATACAATCAATTAGTTGCTTGATGAACAACGTGTACTACAAAGTGCCAAAATGAAGCTTGGCCCGCTACAATCAATGTTGTGTGCGTACTGGCTGTATGTCACATGCAGCAGGCCTTTATTGCTAGGGGAGTCTAGAAGGCGCAGTAGAGCGCATTACAGCTGTTCCTTTCCCCTCATGCCGAAGCTATGAGGAGCAGGCGCATTAATAAGAAAGCTCTTTCAGAAGGGCAATAACATTTTATCAAGCTTCGTGTTTTTCGAGAGCTACGTGTTTCTCTCCAAAAATTTTAGATGTAGCGTCACACTCTCTGCTATCTCATCTAGACAACTCCACAGCACCTGCGGACCAAGATGGGAACTAGTGAACCCTCTTGCTGCAAACCAAAGAATGATACCTGGCACAGTGAAATGCACTGTAGCCATGAACGGAGACCACAGAACAGCATTGCTGGGATTCAATGATATAGCAAAGATGCACATGCCAAGGGCCAGCTCATCAGAACTTTCATCGTCAGACTTTCTCAAGATGGTCCAAAATTCAGTCGTAAGCTGCCCAACTTGCAAAGGTTCCCAATCATCTGAGCAAGATCACTTATTTATTGCCTGTAGAGAAATTTCGCTAACCGAAAATTACAAGAGGCTGCGGCACTACATTATATTCTGGATCGTGTTTAAGCTCTTCCAAATCCATTTTGTACCCTGGAGTACACAGATCCACGTTGACCCCCATATAGACTGTAGCACACACAAAATAAGCGTGTAGAGTCATTCATAGTGAAGTCCAGCTGTAAGCTCTACGTAGTGATGCTGTGCAAGGTTTCTTCTTGATATGGAATTCGTGCTGTGGATTTTTGGATAATGGGAGAGCAGAAGCTGCGGCGCAAATATTTGTGCTCAAAACGGATATGAGTGGCGCAGCTTTGCTTTCTTCGCCTTTTATAGCATCCATATATAATAAAATTCGTGTCTAGTGAGTGTACACTCCCCACCTCTAGTTTCGCCAGCCAGGTCAAGCCACCCATCCCTCTGGCTTGCCCTGCTGCTGGCATCTACACCAAAGGCTGCTTTAAAGAAACCAAACCTAGCAAAGCCCTAGTTCCCCAGTTGCAATATCACTTCAGCCTATGTGCTCTCTTTTGTTCATTGCGAAGACAAAAGATCGACTGATAGCCCACTGAAAGGTTGAAGATATCTCTAAAAATTCTTGGTCGCACATTCTCCCCTCTTGATCTTGGCCTTTGTATCAAGTAACTCGTTCCACAAATTCTTATCGTTTGAAGCAAAGCATGCACTGAAGCATAGGAACGATACATTGAGGACAACAGCGCTTTAGCCCTACCAAATAATAGAGGTAGGTAGTCACTTATTCAGTGGGACCCGCTAGAAATTGTATTATTTGATTACGAGCAGTTTTCTCTGCGTTAGATAGACTGATATGCTCAGATTTGTGGCGAAAGAGCTACTCACATGATCTTTTTGGAAGATTTATACAACGAGTCATGAATTACAGCTGGGAAACGGCTTACTGTCTTCGTGTCGGCACTCAATGCATGGAGCAACCCAACAAAAGTAAGGCAGTGGTGAACCATTCATTTGCATCTATACACCAAAATAAATAGGCCTGGTTTAGGTTCAAATCACTCTCTATCTGCACGTGTTGTTGTGAACCTTCTTTTCAAGAACACGTTTCACGTTTTGCTCCATGCCCACCGATTGAAGCATGCACTGAATAAGCAAGAAACCGGGACGCTCGGAAGCTTCTTTTTAAACGACTAGAAATTTCCAAAATAGTACTAAGTTAGAGTTGTAATGTTTCCTTTTAAGAGGAAGCCGAATATTTCGCTGTTCCTAATACCTCAGGCACAGCAGGTTGGGTCACTCGAGCTAACCGCTATACCCAGCACAGAGTACAGCCTAGATATCTAGGTTGCATACGACCCACACAAGGACACGGTGGTCAAGTAGAGTAATAGAAGCACAAAATTAAAAAGAGGTAGGATCGTATTCGTCAAAGGAAAAGGCTTGTCAGACCGGGAATATGGGGTGTCAGAGCTTTTGCAGCTTTTAATGCAGCATGGCGATTGATGTTCATTTACGTATCGTCTATGCCAAGTAAAAGCATAGTACTTGTGCTTGTGACGTTGGCCAGTGAAGGACCTCCACACCCTGCCAGCACGCTTACTACCACTATTACTACTGCGAATACTTATACCACTACCCTTTATACTACTATGCTGACAAGGACCACCGACACTTATACTGCTGACAACACTCAGATTACCATGGAAACTTGTAATCATTCGTCGAGTTCACAAAACATATCCCAATTCGCTCACCTGAATGCTGCTGGGTACGAGCACCCTCAACAGACCTTTGAATCCACGAGCATCGATGAGGCTGCTAATATGGCTGACAAAGAGGCGCCGGACCACTTCCAAAATGCTATTAGGAAAACAACATTACTAGACATTCAACAAAAACGGGGCCTTCCAGAGGCCATGTCTCTTCTGTCTACTGTAACAAAAGACATAGAAAGGAGAGTCAATATATTGTTATCTCAACACGAAGATGACTTTTTTTCTGCATTTCGATCGCATGCATTAAACGTACAACGTCATATAGAAAAGCTCCAGGAGTGCGCCAACGCTCAAAAAAATCTGATGACAAGAGATCTGAAGATCAAAACACTGCAGCAAGAATTACAGTGGTTTGTGGAAGAATCTGTAAGACTGGATCAGGTATTTACATGGGCTTTAAGGAAACTCCACCATGTTACTAAAATCACTATTCAGGGCTTTCGCAAGGCTCTGGAACTTACTGACTAAGGCTTTAACCAAAGAAAGTGTCCGCTCAAGTGTATATTGGATTTTATAGATTTGCAAGAGGCTGAAAGGTGACCTCATCGGTTGGCAAGCACGAACAGCAGCCTTAAGAGAAGACCGCGATTTCCTAGAGAAGGAATTGAAGGAAACAAGGAGGAAACTGAGAAGGGCAGAGCTTAATGATCACAACATGTCTGCCAAGCGAATGCAGGTAAAGAAGCAAAGAACATGTCTCCTGACCTCTCAAATTACAGATGCATGCTGAGTGAATTCGCGCCACCAGTGGGGGCAAGGCTAGGCTCAATATCCCAGTTTAGTGTATTGAGTGTCGCGTGCAATTTATCCAAGGCGAGCTTGGTGTCCCGAGAGCTTGCTCGCCTAACGACGCCCGCTGTAACATGCCCTAAAGTGCATGGACTTTCAGTACATTGCAATCAGAACCAGGGGGAGGAGCTGTCTACATGCTTACGCTCCGAGCATTCAAAGACACTGCATGATACTGTGGACAGCCTCAAACGACAAATAGCTAATCTAACCGCCACAATTCACCGGCTTCAGAACGACGCTAGACGGAACTCAAGAAGAGGGTTTGCCAAACTTATGCACTAATCCCTCACTTCGATTCCAGCACTCGTTGTAAACATCTGATAGCTCCAGTACTGGAGCATCCATCTAGAAAATTCTCCCGAACGCATGATCTACAGAACAATGAAGCCGTGAGTAAGCGCTCATTAGCGACGCTGTATTCCTGTTCAAAGGTCCAGTCTTGTTGAGGCATCTAAGGCTCTTGGCCGTCGCCAACACTTGGAACGTTTTCTCGTGGAATGCATTAACGATGTCAAGAAAGAAAGAAAACTTAAGGGGATCCCCACCGCGTCATTAGGTTAGGCGCATACCGCCCAGTCTACGTCCTCAAAAAAGATGGTCGTCTGCCAACCATTTCTTTCCTTCACCAATTTGGGCTGCACGCAATTTAGAGACTGGCTGCAAGGACCGGCTGGCTACATTAGGCATGTATATATAAGAAGAACGGTGTGTTATAGGCGAGTTCGAGCACCTTTCCGTTGAGGAGTTCTTGGCTTTTGACCGGCGCAAAGTCCTGAATGCTTTGTTGTCCAACGACAATGTCCTTGTAAGCCAGCCTTATTAAACATATGGCCCAGCATAAACAGAGGAACTAGCAGCAGAGTATGCTACTCGTGTGACTGCGTGGTGCTGCAGCGAAAACTGTATTGCTTGATCTTTCCCCACAAAGGGACAGTCGAGTGAGATATGGATATCAATGTATTCTAAAAATTATCGCTCATGATGAGCTTGGTTTTTGCCTTCTTTGGCGATGTGAGATACTTCAATAATCTGAGAATTTTTGACTTCCAGGGAATGCCTTGCTACCAGAACTGTGTAGCATTCCCCTAACAAACGCCAATTTTTTGCACATTCGATGTATTGCAGGCGCCTCCCGCTTATTTAGGCTTAAGCTCCTCCAAAGTTGGTGGTTCATTGCCATGTCCAATAATGAACAGGTCACTTGGAGCACAGCTTGTGGGCCCTTGCGCTCGATGATGAATCTCTTTGTATTGCGCATGGCACACCGGCACTCAGAGCAGACCCCGGGCACAGGTTCTCCAAAACCCACTTCAAAGCATATATTAGCCACTCTCTAATTGCATACGTTTTTGGCCCAAGTTAACATTCAGGAAATTAGTGATCTCTGAAACTATTTCGACAGGCAAGGCACCCCACCGAAATCTCATCCTAGTAGAGGGGGCAGGTGGCAAATGTATCAGACGCTGTCACCGCTGAGCATGAGGAGATGATGGAATCCACGACAGGAACAATGAAATAGTGTATGTTAAAAAATCGTGTATTCATCATGGAGGGGCCTTCTTTGCACGAAGTGCTGTGCTTGTCTAGAACTCTTCACTTCTATGCATCAATTCATATCTTGCTGAGCGTGTATGAATGGATATTACCACATAGAGTTCGACTGCTATGTCTCAAATCGACAGGTCTTGGCTGCCATTCTTCTTGTAGCTTTAAGGACTATAAAAACTGGTCGTTTATTCTCACAATGAATTTAGTGTTATCCACGGGCCTTACATGCTTATTAGGAGCTCTTAACGTTGAGCCATGGCCCTTGATGCAAGCATCTTGACGGTGAATATAGACTAGAAAGGTCGTCTGCTCATTAATCACGTTAGCATGTGCTGACGAGCAGGTTCAGATACCTTGCATCTATGCAAGATAAAGTTATATGCAGGGCCCCTGCAGCTCATATTTGCTTCCCAGTCTATTGAAAAGCCCTCTTCGATCTTCGCAAAGAAAACAGTTACCTAATCTAAGAGAGCACAACAGATTAGTTCTTCGTTAACGAAGCCATACTCACCTGCCGCCATCGAGGATTAGTTATATCCCAATCCTCGTATACGGCAAGCCTGCACCAGCCACGCAGGGCCAAGGGATGTGTTCGCATGATTACCCTCCTAGGAGGATTCCACCCCAAGATCAGCTGTGTATCACACATTCACTACCTGTGAAACATGGCAAAACATATGTTAATATTTCGGATGCCGTGATCTCATCGCTCATGAGAAATTATATCATTTGCCGGGGCGCATTTGCTTGCGAGTACCAATTGTAACGTCTGATTCGAGGCCCCCAATCCTCCTATGAGACACTCATGCGAGTGCCAGTGCATCTGCAGCACACAAAAGCGCAACGGTCAGCACGGAAGCACTGAGGTGGCAAGCTGGGGCGCTAAACAACTACGCATCACGGTGGATTGCAAATGGCGCTCGCTGTGGAGTGGTGCTTAGATGATCTGCAGAGCCCCCCGGAGCCAAGTCGGCATGTCAAGGAGTGCCTCATATTCATCTTGTCATCCTACAAGCAGTAGAAGGTTGCGGGATGGCGGGGATATATGACTAGCAGCCGCAGTTGAAAGACTTACATGGTACTTTTCCTCATCATATCCATGAATTCGTCGAAGTCGATCTGCAGCGTAGGAAGAATTCTCCTCTTTACTCCTTATGTATGTGCACTACCTGTCACTACTCAGAATATAGTCAAATGGACACTCTATGATAAGTTCTTAACTACACTTGTTCCTCTCCTGCCGCTTGAAGGATGCGGCATCTAGATGCGTGAACGAGTGTCACCAAATACAATATGGCGGAGGCAGTCTTAACCATAGTCCCGCTTTTATAAAGAGTCAACTAAGACAATTCATAGCCTTTTGTAGCCAGCTGTGGTCAAGCACGATTGATTGAGGGACAGAGTTACAGACCTCTCCGTCTCCATTCTTGTCCACCTCACGGATAATTGTTTTGACTTGCCACATCTGCTGCTGTTGCTGTTGAGGCGACATATTGTCTACTACCGCATAAGGACTGCTACTTTGCTGTGTGGCATCCATTGCAGGTATGGCTTGTGTAATTCCATGGGAAAGTGAGGCGGGTGATGGAAACACCGTTTGTACATCGGTATTCAGCAGCACATGCGCCAAATCCTGGGCGGAGATCCGGCCGTTGCCATCCAAGTCGAAGACTCGAAATGCCGCCCAGCATACGTCTTCCTGTAAAGATGTGTTTATGCACAAAGTGGACCCCAATTCTGATTGGCAGTAGTGTAGAACCAAGGTTTCACAATATTATACTACCGCGATGAGTTGCTGATAAGCGCTGCTTACATGACCCGCGGAAACAATACTAATCTCATCCCACTTGTAGAAACGCGACATATTACTTTAAATCCGATGAATGCAATGTATGAATAGCAAAATGATCTTAGAACGTCAAGCAGGATTGAGCACTAGCAGCAAATTGGTGGTTCTAATGTAGCTGCTAGAGTGGTCACTCCCCAAATTTCCTTCAAAAAAAGTTGTCGACAGGTCCACAGCATTACCCGTGAGCTAGTAGAAGGCACGCAGTGATAGCAGGCACAGGGCTCTGCAAATTATTTTGTGTAGTTCCCTGCTCTGCTCCACAAATACTGCAGTGCCCCGTGGAGAGAGTCGTATGGCGCGGGACAGGAGGAACGAACAAAGAGTGCCTTCGCCAGACTGTACTTGCACATCCGGACATCAAGTGGTCTCTTAGAGGGGAACTCCAATGCGGTTTCCCACAACAAAGTGGGTATGGCTCAATATCTGTGTCTTGCAATATTTTCAGCTTCACTATCGCCTCTGTGCAAGTATTGAAGTATACCGAATACTTCATTAGCTGCTATACAAAATGCAGGGTTGATTTCCTTGCCTGTATATATTGTCGCTTGTCGAGCGTAGCAGCGACAAATTCTGTGTAATCGATGAAACCCGAGCCATCTGAGTCAACATGTCTCATTAGTTGCTCCAAGTCACTAGGAATGTCTTTGATCCCTGCCTTCTTTAGGCCAGCTGCATCCGCACATGCAAGAATACGCCCTTGATTCTTCACAAACTGTTGCACATGGGATCAGCGTCAGAAACTTGGACTCTTCAATCTGCCTAACCAAGCACGGCTGGTGCCTTATTCTTGCTATGACGAGTACGAATAACACCAGAACTGGCCAAGCGGCTGCAAAAATTGCCATCACTTTATACTCATGAAGCGGCAGGAAGCACAGGGTGCTACTGGCCCCCGTACAGTGTAACTCTGACTGAAAGCCCAGTGTAAAGTATTTTATAGACATCGTCAAAGAGGGGAGCAGGCTGGTGATGCTCTGATAATTATTTTCTTACTCCGCAACTCTTGGAGAGTAAGGCTTCCGTCTCCGTCCTCGTCAAGAGCTGGAGGCATTGAGCGTACAGGTTTGGATGACTTTGTCTCGCTTTCGCGAAAATTCTCTAGAGTGTCACTACAATCTAGCAACTATGTTTTCTATAAGCCCCAGCAAGTCTAAAAATTACTGTTCATTGTTGGTATTCGCGATGTATGTTCCCTGGTGATGAGCAAACTGCTGACAACAGCTCTCTGTAACGGTGCCCTTCGCGCTGCAGTCAGGGAATCTGGTGTCCATATACCAAGGAAAGTTTGAGTAAGTAACTCAATCTGTGACTCGTTCATTTGCTGTGCGATAATTGTCAGCGCCGCCTTTTTTAATTTGCAGAGTGCTTGAAAGCCCTGCACGCCACAATGCGCAGCTTTGAAGCCTGTGCCACCGAGTCCAGAAGGAAAAACTGCATGTCAAAGGTCTAACGCAGCTAATCCGATAATAAGGCTGTCAGGACTGCTAGTTGCTACGTTGCAGCAGCTGTTTTCTCGGAAGGACACGCCAGAGTGATGGCAATTTCATTTTCCAGGGGTCTGAGTGCCCGCTTTCCGAGGTAGTAGCTAGCTGAAATCGGGTGGTCGCGCGGGCTTACTCTGAAGCGCTCCAACATGGTGTGGCTGAACGGGGCGTCAGATGCTGGGTTGGCTGGGGCAGAGAAATGTTTAATCCATGGGTGGTTGAGAGCCTGCTCGGCCGACAGTCGCTCTGCAGCGCAACACTGCAGCCAAGCACGGCGGTAGCAAGCAGCGCTCAAGCTGCTTCACGCTCTATAGTCCCTTCTAGGTATGAGCATCTTGATTTTCAGTGAGCGATGATCTGTTGTACTCCAAGTCTCACGACAGGTGCCCAGATCCCGCATGTGCGCCGCAGCCATGGTTCTGCATATGTACATGGAATTTTCGTGATGCCGTTAAAGTAGAGGCACAGTTGTGACTCCACTAATCATTGATATACAGGTAAGTGTCAGCTGTACGCTGCGGGTCAAATGCCATGAGCTTCCGGACAAGGTCTTTCGCCTCATTTGAGACACCTCTCCAGTCTTGTTCGTTAAAGCTATATCTCCCAACTTTCACCCGGGAAAGAATTTCCGCATCGTTCTCCCCATGAAATGGGGGGTAACCACACAAGAGTATGTACATGATGACGCCAGCTGACCACATGTCGCACTTGTAAGTGTATTTTCCCTGCAGAACCTGGGGCGCCACATAAAATGGCGTGCCCGCCCGCGTGGACATGAATGCGTTGCTGCTGAAGCGGGTTGCAAGCCCAAAGTCTGATAGTGGACACACGTAAAGCAATGAGTCTTTAAAATATGATGGCACACATCTGCTATTCAAAGGCTTCGCTCTTTATGCCTGTGTGTTAACCGAATACTTTGTGTGCTGCTCTGGTTCCCCGCAGCGGCGACAACTCAATAGGAAGTGCAGGCCCAGATATTTGCGTATAACCGATGACTTGATACTCAAGTATATCAAACGTGCAAACGTTTACAAGCGCATAACTGTGTACTGTGTCTACATGCACTGCATCAGCTTTCTTCGCAGCCAACGCTTTACAAAGCGACGCAAGAAGATTTCCACCTGATCAGGGGTTTGTGTTGTTTTCGATACCGATTATTTTGAACGGCGCGTCTTTTCCCTTGTCAAGGAACATGAAGTTCTCCGGCTTGAGATCTCGGTGCACAATGCCATGCTTGTGTAAATAGAAGAGAGCTGCCAGAATGCAGCGCATGATATAGCACGCGTGTGCCTCCGAGAAATAACCTTGCTCTATGATACGATCAAAAAGTTCTCCGCCTCTACAGAGTTCCATCACGAGATATACATTTTTATGATCTTCGAATGTTTCAAACAACTTTCTGGAGACAATGACATGGACAAAAACTGGTATGTAGGGTTCCACATCTCTAACATCTAGCCACAACGTGCGGTAATAACCCCCTCCGATAGTTCAACAAGTGGACTTCATTATAATATCAATAAGATAAAACCTCTACAATGGTGGGGCGGTGATTTATCGCCTATACAAAGATGTGGTATGTGTCTCTTCATAGTATTGACGGCCAATCAAAGCGAGGCCGACAGATACTGTCGTCATTCAGAACCGTTATCTAGCGTTGCTTCGGTAAAGTCAGCGTATATTTGTAAGACATTATATGAGCAACTGCGGGGGTGTGTCCTTATGCTTCATATTGTTGCCTACTGCTGCTAGAGCCTCGACCTAGCAGCGCTCTGCCGCTGGCATTTGCCTTTCTTGGGCGAACCGCAAAAAGCTAAGCGTGAATAGAAGTAAGGCCCCTAGTGGACAACTTTCGGCTCACAATGTGCGGTCTGCTTTCACTGAATGGGATGAAGGACTAACATAATATTCGGGTGATCGAGGGACTTCATGATTGATATTTCTTGCTTAAACCTTTTCACGTTTCGAACCTTGCTCTTGCTGATTGTTTTTACAGCTCGTACTGTTTTTGTTGCTTTGTTCACTGCTCTGCAGACACTGCCGTATGTTCCCTGGCCAAGTTTTCTTGGTTCGACATCATATGAGTCCGTGAGTGGCCCAGCAAAGGAGAGAATAAACCCTTCTCGTTTAAACTTCCATTGCGAACCTTCTTCCTGCAAGAATGTGTCTCCAGTCAGCCTGTCCGTGTGACGACTGGAACGGTCTAAAGCAGTACAGCCACCGTGAGAACCTGCTACTGGGGGTGCACTACCGCATGTTCGGTTACTGCGAAGAGCAGGTGTCTTAACATGAGCACCGGCGCAACAGGAGGGGGGTGAAGCTCCTGCAACAAGTCGCGTTGAGCTATTGTAGCAGCCCGTGCATGGCTGATTTTTATGGTTGCCTGGGCTGGCAGACGATTCGCGTTGCTCTCTCCGACTTGTTGGGTGGGCAGAGGCTGCCCCATAGGGGCACAGACAAGTGGAAATGCCGTGCATTCCCGATCAAACAGCGGTGAGGGTGGTCCAGAGACCTGGAGTATACCAAATTTAAAGTAATCTAGATTGATCTAAGCAGGAATGATGCTACCGTGAAAAGATTAGTTGGCTATACACTGGGTTTGGCCCCATTTGCCACACCGCCGTTGCCGTTTCCGGGCCGAGTTATCGAAAATTTGGTCTTAATGCGATTTACAAAGCCTTTAGGCTCATGAATTAAGTTCGAATGTACTTGAAAAAGCTACTACGGTTGTAAAAATGTGCGATTTGCCTTGTGTAGGAACCATCGATGACGCACCGCGAGATTGACCGAGTACTTTAACAAAATGATCGATGTGTCTACTCTTTGCAAGAAAGAGTCTTTCTACGTATTTAAATATTTTAAAGGAGTCCTTGTGGCGTATGCTCACACGATCCGTTGCCATATTTGTTGATGGTTGAGGCTGACGTTATCCACAGCCCCGTTCCGTGGATTATTACAAGCAGCTCAAGGTAACCAGGTGAGACCTAATGCAAGCTCAATGCCCGTACATAAGCCTTGCTTGCTTAAATTATTGGCGTTCTGTCAAACGGCTGATAACAGAGCAAACATACAGTAATAGTCTTCGTTTCGTTTACGGCTTAAGTGACCCGTAAACCTGAACGACGCCCCAGTACAGCAAAACACACATTGCGTGCCGCTGTTTCCAAACAAAAGGCGATATTTTTTCCAAACGGGAAAACCAGTGCTTTGGCACTGTTTGGCCCCGCATTCCGCATATGCACTGGGTAAGTGCGGATCTGGCGAATCCTAGGACAGTTGCTTGAGAGGAGAGTAACTGGCCTGAATAATTGAAAAAGCCTTCAAAGAAAGTATCTCAAGCTAAGACAGCTACTATTCTAGTCGTACTTACGTGTTTCTATGATACCACGGGCCTTCATTCTGTAAATGTTAAAATCAAAGCACATTGCTTAGAGTGCTAAAGACGAGTGTCAAAGAAGCTTGATGAACAGAAGCCTCTCCAAGGCTCCGCCCTCGCACATTGCACCTCCGTGTTGCCCTCTGCCCTATAGTGCCGCTCCCATAGGCTCCAATAAGAGGTACGCAGGCCCATAGGTGAATTAATACCAACGATAAACGAATGGCTTCTTCTATATCAGAAGGCATCTTCTTTCCTTGGCCTCACCTCCAGGGGTTCGGGCCTGCAGAAAAGAAGGACAAACAATGCACGAGTAGCCACACAAGAACACCAACGCACATACGCGGACTGAGTTACCATCGCGAACGCACACAGAGCGTGTACCGCTATTGCGTAGACCCAATCTCTGGATTCAACAAACGAAATGTTTAAAAGGCCAAGTGTTTAGGAACATTCGCAGGTGAATCTCACTTTAAAAGGACGGGTGTAATAATTGCCAAAGGGCAGTGAGTTATTAAATACAAGCAGTGCTGTGCCTGCAAGCTGTGCATCAAGCCTTCCCTTTGTGTCCTCTCTGTTCTATCTCCTGCCATAGAACGGGGCCGATCTGGGCGGGCTGAGTTACACTTTGGCAGGTTTTTCCATACTGACTATGCAAAATTAATATACTACGAAACTAACCTTATAATTTGCTTTTTTGTATATGTCATTTGATGCATTGCACAGCTAGCTCAATACGACAAGGAGTAATATTGTGAGTCTATGTGCTGATTACTATGTGAAAGAAGCTGTTAATGCCCGGATTGCCTGGAGAGTGCAGCCAAGCGCACTCTAGAAATTCCTTTCTCCGGATGTCAGGACTCTTGGGAGCTGCGGCATGGGAATATGGGAGCTTTTCTAATAAACACTCAAAACTTTATATAAATTCGAGTTGAGTTTGATGTTTAGTATGTCTCTACGGCGAATTGCGCTAAGGCGTTACAGTTGGTAACACCTGATGGTTCGACATAGCTGTTCCCCGCTCATCCACTGGGTGTGGATGCAGTGGATTGTTGAACTTCCCTACAATAGTACCATCACTTTCTTATCACATCATTTGTGAGTTTATGAATGGTGATTGTGGTAAACGGCTTACTAATAAAAATGTTTTGGGGTGGAAGTTGACTGGTCAACGCCTGTTCGGGCGGCAGAGGCTTGGCTGGAAGCCCACATGAAAACAGTTATCAAACAGGTGGCATTATTTACGGCCGACACAATGTTTATGGATGCTCCGGTGAAGCTATGCTAATTAAAAAAATATGACAGCCGTAAGGATGGGCAAGTACGCGAGGTGTTTATCGGCCGATTCAATTTTAACCTCGCTTCGTCCTATCTAGATGAAGAGAATTGAATGCTGCTTGCGGCACGTCTATTAAAGAACGGGCACTTCACTTGTGACTGGATTAATATAGAAAAAGTCTACTTGCAGGGACTACCATATTACAGCCTTCTTAAAGCCTTTATACATGCCCTGACACATCGCTTTGCCGAGGTAAGCTCAATTGCAAGCTCTCAGAGAATTAAAACGACTTATCAGGGAATTTTATCAGCCGATCGCCACACCGCGACTATGAGACTCTGGCTTGCAAAAATTACAATTTTAAAGAGCAGCTGCTTTTTTAATGCTTTACCTCACGTGTATCCGAAGTGTAATGCCAGGGGGCCACATGACGAGAAGAGAAGCAGCCATTAAACAACTGACCTATGGGCCTTTCAAGATATTAGGCACAAACAAGCTTAACGCCTGCGTCCCCGGGGGAGAAATACCAGCGAACACGCAATTCGAACCGTGTGAATTTCAGGGATGTGCCAACCTGCCCTAGCCTACAGTCTAGCGTGAACAATAAAAGACTGCCAGGAGGAATCCTGGCATCAAAGCAGCCATATGCAGCGCTCCACACAACGCACCTGCCTCTATTGCGGGCCACTGGGCTGGAGGATTCGGAACTTTGAGCGCTTGAAAAAAGAAAAGAACTAGAAGAAAGTTACAGGGCCCAGCAAAGGCAGGCTGCTTGCTGAGCAAAGAAAATACACCACGAAAAATGCAAGCCTCCGACGCACGCTGCGAC